ATGCCTGAATCAATATATCAACAAGTAAATGAATGAATGAGTAGATCTGCTGAATGTCAGCATGTCTGATTCTGCCTGCCACGTGGAGCAAAGCCCATTTCATGGGGGAGACTTTAGGAAGGAAAGCCCATGAGCTAGTCATTACCACATCAGGGCCATAGGGACTTGGCAGGGTTAGAGCTGGAGATCTGAGTTGGGCTCCTTGCTACTCCAACAGTAACGACTGCTACGCTCTCTAGAAAGGTTCTGCTAGGCCAATTTGGAACTCTATTATAAAGACTTACCTTAAGGCTTCATTTAAACTTTGAGGATGGAGATGCTACCTACTGGCTAAAAGCTAGGGAGTAAAAGTACCAGAAAGCAAGTTATTCGCATCCCTCCAACAGAGTGAACCATGTCCTCCCAGTTTAGACCAGAAATAATTACCAGTGACCAAGATGCCAGTAATAAGACTACAAATGTAAGTACACAGAGGGCAAAGACTGTCTCCTGTCATCGCTGCATTCCCAGTCCCTAGGATAGTGCTAGGAATCCCTGCATGGGAAAAACGGTTAAGCACTCAACTATCAGCCAGAGCCAGCCAGAAGTGCCTCAGGAGGAGAGGCCTGAGGAACTGCTCCTGTATAGATTACAGTCTAGAAAACCCTACAGAGCAGTTCCACTCCATCACAGGAGGTTGTTATGAGTTGGAATCTACTCAATGGCACTGAACAAGAACAGGGCCCTGGGGGCCACAAAAGGCTAAGCACACAACTACTAGCTGAAAGGTCACCAGGTCAAACCCACCCAGAGGCAGCTTGGGAGACAGGCCTAGCCTGTATCTGAAAGGTCACAGCCTTGAAAACTCTGTGGAGCAGTTCCACTCTATGCACATGGGGTCGTCATGTGTCAGCGCTGACTCGAGGGCAACTAACAATAGCAGAGTACTGGTACGTGACGGCTTCTCAAGAAAGGAACAAGCTACCTAACCAGAGATGCTGCAGTGCCACCAAAGAAGGGACCCACAAGCACCAAGAGCTCTTGGGCGCCAAGTTGGAAAAGAAACCAACAGAGCCTGAAATGTAGAGTTCAAAAGATCTAAGAGTAAGGAAGGAAATGCACTGGAATATTAACCGTGGACTCATCTGGATGCTGAGAATGTGGGTCCCAATTCGTATTTTTTCTTTTGCTTCAAATTTCCACAGTATTTTCTGCGTATGTATCACTTTTACTTTTGAAAATGCAACAAACGCCAGTTTTCAATGATGTAAACTTTAAGCAGTTCAACTTTTTTGAAAGCTATCGTTAATGTGGGAGATTTATTGCAAATTCTACTAGAACTAGGATCAGTGGCCAAAGGGCCTAAAAAGAATGTCTTAGCACAGTTTATAACTACCTGCTGAGGTTATTCAATTTGGCATTCCAGTCTCCAGCAGTGTTCCATTCACCATGTCAGACATAGTGAGGGTAATTAATAAAGTGTTGGTAAGATGAATTTCACAAACTGTGAGAGACCAAGAAGTCTTAGAAGACCTGGAAATAATCACACATCTGATAAGCTCTTAGAATGACTTTCGAGCAATGGTTCTCAATTGGGGGTGATTGTGCCCCCAGGAGACATTTGGCCACATCTGGACACATTTTTGGTTGTCAGCACTTGGGGAAGGGGATTGCAACTGGCATCTAGTGGGTGGAGAACAGAGATGCTGCTCGACACCCTATAATGCACAAAAAAGAACGATCTGACCCCAAATGTCAATAGAGACACCCTATTTTAGTGCAGTTATGCTTTTAATGATGTAATACTCTAACTTCCTGTTAATTAAAAATGCTTCCATAAAACAAATGTGATGAATGTGGAAGCAACCACAGTGGTGGCCAGGGCAAACATGAAATGGAAGACAAGCAAAGATTAGGTAGAAGAAAAAGGCGGACTAGTTTATGACACCACTGTTCTCTGTGGCCTATTCCGATACTGAACAGCTCTCCCAGGCAGAAAGCCCTGCATCTCTATAAACACCGTCAGACAGGAGCTCGGGTAGCATAGTGCCTAAGGCACCTGACTGCTAACCGGAAGGCTGGCGGTTCAAACCCACCAGCCACTTCTCAGAAGGAAGGTTAGGCAATCTACTTGTATAGTGATACTGCCTCAGAAACCCAAAGAAGAGTTGCTATGAGTCGGGTTCACATAACAACAACAGACTGGACACCTCTCTCGTTCTAAATTGGGTGGAGGTCCCTTTCTTCATGTCAGCATCTTCCACATGCTGGAGAATCCTCATTAAATCATCCTCCGGTCGAACAAAATGAGAGTTCTCCTTAGTCTACGCTAGAACTCGAACTTTCCATCCCTGTAATCAACTCTGTGGCTTCCCACGGAGTCCTCACTCACTTAATTGTGCAATTCAAAACAAGAAGACTCTGGCTGTGCTGAATACAGAATGAACCTCGTATTAGCAAATAGCAATGAGATGCAAAGTCTCATTCACCAAGGATTTGAACAAGGGTCCTGAATGACCCGATGTGTTAATATATGACAGCACAGAGGGCCACATTTCCTGGTGGTGCTAACTAACTGCTCTTGAACAAAGACAACAGCTACAGTTTGGTATTGTAGAGACGGATTGAAAAAACTGAAACTGTGTGGCTTCAGTGTGAGTCGCTACAATTTTAAACATGATGAGTAAAGAAAAAGCCTCTTTAACTCGTTTTCCATTCTTTTCTTGTCCAAACTGTCTTGGAGACTTTCACATTTGCTCCTAATTCCCCTGACAATGAACTTGGCATGGGATAGCCAGCTAAATGCTAGTTACCACTGGCTGGGTAAGACTGGGAAGAGGTATGTTTCTGAAAGGGCATGTAATCCCACAAATACAGGTCATAAACCAGAGTATGGAGATTCTTCTACTTCCATGGATCAGGAAAACAGCTTTCCTGACTGCTCAGAGCTAAAGCTTGCCTTTCCACAAACCATGCAACCCTACAGCAGCTACTATACTATTATCAGCTGATTGAAAGCGTATAGGTGTTATTTACACGGCATGTTGCCTCTCCAGACATTCCAAACACAGCTTCTAGGAGAATGCTCCGTTGGCAAGTTGAAATTTCTTCTCTAATCGGTTGATGACAATTACTGCTTCCCACTTGATTACAGTAATGGGTTGCAGTGAAATTAGTAAGCTCTCTCTTAGCAGGTGTGCCGGGAAGAACACAATAGATAACGGATGCCTTGACATTTATTACTTTCGTTTTCAAATTTCAACCTTTGCTTAAAAGATTTTAGGGAATGAATAAATTTTCTAAAGGCTGCTGATTAAAGTATTTTAAAACAAACCCAACCCTACTTACACAGCTTTTAGAAAAACCTCATCACTGACAGAAAAACTGACACATTTCAATTCTGGTGTTGGCAAAGAATACTGAATAGACCATGGACTGCCAGAAGAATGAACACATCTGCTTGGAAGAAATATACCCAGAATGTTCCTCAGAAGAGAGGATGGTGAGACTTCTCATGTACTTTGGACATGTTATAAGAAGGGACCAGTTCCTGGAGAGAGATAGCATGCTTGGTAAAGTAGAGGGTCAACAAAAAAGAGGGAGACCCTCAACAAGATGGATTCACACAGTGGCAGCAACAACAGACTCAAACATACCTACCATGTCGAGGATGGTACAGAACATGGCAATGTTTCACTCTATGAGGCTGAGCCGACTCAACACCACCTACCACCACAACAATCTTTATGGGAGCAGATTGCTAGTTCTTTTCTCCTGCAGAGTGGCTTTTGGGCCAAACTGCTAACCTTCTGGGCCAATGCCACCAGGGCTCCTGAAGACAGTTGAAAGATATTCGAAAATCTATTTAACACTGGGAAGAGGTTTTGTAGATTCAAAGGAACAGAATCTACCTTAAAAACAGGCAGCTCAGGGCAAGGATAAACAGTCGTCTGGCCCAGGTGTGTTCACAGTGGGGCATTTTGCAATCACATAGGGAGAGTCCCACTGACGAGCTGCATCAATACTCTGGAAGATCTTGTCAAATCTTCCACTGCAGGCGAGCCCTGTCATGGGCCCCTGCCTACATGTGATGCAGGAATGCTATGCTGGTCCCACCCCTGGAGATCCAGCAGGAGCTACTCAGGGCCCCCAGGGCACACTGCTCCTCTTGCCTGGAACTCCCAACAGCCCTCACACCCAGGCCTCTAGCCCCTGGCCCTTGTCTCTGAAGTCCTACCTCCCACTGTCTCCTTCCAGTGTGTTATCCCAGACCTCTGGCACTCTGGGCTTGCTTCTCTGAGACCCATCTTTGGGATGCTCCACCTGGACCTCATCCCAAATCAGCAGCTGTCCCTCAGTACCACTGATTTCAGCTAGATCACGAGGGGGAAATAATCCCTCGGAATGGACTTGCTGCAACAAAGTCTGCTCATGACCCCAGATGGGGTTCTTACTGGTGGACCTGGACATCACCTACACGATAGAGCAAAATGTGATGTGGAGAATACTGAATAGACCATGGACTGCCAGCAGAATGAACAAATCTGTCTTGGAAGAGACCTCACAAGCTAGGTAGCTTAGCCTGGAACTAAGTCAGAGAGCAGGAGGGCCCTGGCAGGCCCAGGCTCTCACATTGTCTCTTCCCTAAAAAGGTAGCTTCCTAACAGGGTGGGGCCCAGGTGTGCTTCTCAATATGGTGGCCATTTTACCAGCCAAGAATGCCTATCCCAAGACCTAGCTCTAAAACTTTGTTAGAAACGGTGAGCTGTGGAGACCAGCAGTATCAGCATTAACTAGGTGTTTATGAGAAATGCAGTCTCAGGCCCCACCCAGCCTACTGACTCAGAACCTGCATTTTAAACAGATGCCCCCGAGATACAAATAAACACTAACACTTGAGAGGCCTGGACTTCAAGGCCACTGATCTTTTTTACATTCTCTATAACTTCTTGGAGAATTGGGGGACCACCAAAGCTGCCCCTCATCTCTCAGTGAAATCAAGCCATCTCCTCTTTACTCACTTATCGCGAGGATCAGTTCTCGCCTCTGGGCAAACCCAATGAGGCGTTCGGAGTCTCTGGAGACCACCACGGGGAAGCCGTTGTAGTCAGTCTCCTTGATGAGCGTCTCCACGTCCTCCACAGTCATGCTGTCCTGTGTGAGCACAGACAGTGGTGGCTCCCCACGCCGGGGCCTCATGACATCAGTGGCCAGCGTACGGTGGGTAAACTCGTCCTTGACATCCAGAAATGGGTACCCATTCAGGTGGATGTGGGCCTCGTAGATACCTTCTTTCCCAAAGGCATCAGCCACCCACTTGCTGGTCACGGCTGCCGCCATCAAGGGCACGATGTACTCGAGGCCACCCGTTAATTCAAACATGATGACGACCAATGACACTGTCATCCTCGTGACTCCACCTGCAATGCACGAGAGAAGGACCATCCTGAGAGTGTGGACTATGGAGACTGAGGAGGAGACTGTCCTAAATGTAACCTACCCTGGCCCTTTGGAACAGACCAGGCTCCGTTAAGTGTGGCCTTCTATCAAACCCAACCCAACACTGTTGCCATCAACCCCAGCTCATGACGACCCATGTGTTACAGAACAGAACTGCCCCATAAACTTTTCTTGGCTATCATCATTATGGAAGCAGACTGCCAGGCCTTTCTGCTGTGGCGCCATTCACTCACTCACTGCCGTCGAGTCAGATCCGACTCATGGCAACACCTCCGTGGGTTTCCGATTTGGTATCAGTATGGAAACAGATCACCCAATCTTCCTTCCAAGGAGTGGCTGGTGGGTTTGAAACGCCAGCCTTCTGGTTAGCAGTCAAATGCTTTAGGCACTACACTACCAGAGCTCCTATGTGGTATCATTGGGTGGGTTCAAACCACCAACCTTTGGGTTAGTAGTTGAGTGCAAACCATGTGCACCACCCAGGGACATGGCCTTCTACAGGAAACTGTAAATTACATCCAATTGGACGGTCCTGCTCAACTGAGGGACCCCAGGTTGTTGATTCACCCAAGGTCCTACACTGTGCTTTTAGTGAATGGCTGCTCTGCAGGTTGAGCAGGCTTCTGACTCCGCATGTGGGGCTTTCCTCCAGACGCTCATAAGCTGGACAAACAGCAATGCTTAGGGCTATAGAGAGCTGATGCACCCAGCCTTGTTACCAGGGTCCTTGTGTCCCTTGACAGGCAAAGGGAGAATAGGATCAGTACTGACTCCTGTCCTTCACTGTGGTAAAAGGAGGCCTTCTCAACCTTGGCACCAGCAACATTTGGGGCCAGGTGATTTTCTGTGTGTGGTTTTTGGGGGGAGGCTGTCCTATGTATTGCAGGATCTTTAATAGCATCCATGGCCTCCACTCACCAGATCTCAGTAGCATACTCTGCCCTCAGTTGTGACAACCAAAAATGTCACCAGACACTGTGAAATGTCCCTGGGGGACAAAATTGTCCCTAGGTGAGAACCACTGCTCCAGATGGGACAGCTACAAGATGGTGATGCCTCCATCAGCCTGGGTCCCTGAATGACGGACTGAGTGGAGAAGTGCTTCACGTTATATACGTGTATCATGAACAAAAATTCAGCCTCTGGCAACATGATAAGCCACTGAAATTTAGGGGCTTACTTGTTACGCAGCATGATCTGGCCCATTCTGCGTAATGCACATGCTCACACCCCTGCCTGCCCTCTAAGCCAGACCAGCCTCTGTGGTCTGGTCTATGTCACCTCTCCTTGTGTCCCCTCCCTCCCAGTCCACCTGGGGTTATACCTAGGCAGGCGGCAGCTCCCACCATTGCATAAAGCCCCGGGGTGACACAGTCTGCTCCAGGCCGGCACCAATTCCGGAAGATGATCCAGTCGTGGTGGTGGTAAGCCAGCTGCTCCACACCGATGCCCACCATCCTGCCGGCCATCGCCCCCACTGCCATGCTGGGGATGAAGAGGCCCGACGGGATCTCGAGGGGGCACACAGAGAAAAGCGAGGTGAGGGAAGGGGCCCCATTGCCTGCTGCACTAACCCCAGTACACACAGCCCCCTGACAAGCTGACACTGTGCTGCGTCTTCACGGGAGGCACAGGTCACCTACATAGGCCAGCTGGGCAGAGGGGCCGCTGATGCTCCCTGCTGGGGCAGCTGTGTCGACTGTGACTTGTAGAGAAACCACTCTATGCTTTCATTTCCTTGCCTAGAAAAGCTGGCCCTCTTTGCCCATTGTGAATTAAAGAATGATAAACCCCACTACAAATCACACTCACAGCGAGCCTGTTACCTGAGAGGCTCATCACTTCCTCTCTCCCCTTGCCGCGTCGTTCAGATCACCTTTGGGAATGAAATGTTGAGCCACAGCAGGAGAATGCAAAAAGATGGCCTGCGAGGGCTCCCAGGTCAAATAAAGATGCTCACTGCATCATCCCAGCTGCCACGGAATGGCCAAGAAGCTTCCTAAGGGCTGAGGTGGTTGCTGTTCATTGCCATTGGGTTCATTCTGACTCATGGCGAACCCATATGCTGAGTGCCTTCTTTACGAGGGCTGGCATCCCTCTGGGGGGGGGGGAGCAGCTCCCTCTTCCCGGCAAAGCCCATGTTCCCAAAAGTATCCTGAACATTTTAGAGCCAGCTTAGAGGCAGCAAAGAAATAGACCATGTCAACAAAAAGATCTTGGTAGTAGCACGTTTTATATTTTGTTGGATGCAAATACATTTGAAGGAGCCCTGGTAGCACAACAGCTAAGCGCTTGGCTGCTAACTGAAAGGTCAGTGGTTCAAACCCACCAGCAGCTCTACGGGAGAAAGACCTAGAGATCGGCTTCCATAAAGATTACACCCAGGAAACCCACGTGGTTGCTATGAGTCAGAATCAATTTGACGGCATCCAGCAACCACCAACCGCCATTTTAATTTATTGATTGGTCATCCTTGTGCCAGAGAACACACCTGACTCTCTGTATTCACTGAGATTACAGTGAGGGCTGGTTCTTAGTGACAGCTCCATTTATGCCTGTCTCAGACAGGCACCAATTTGAGGATAGAAATAGCCTTTCACCTAATTACAGAAATTAACTTTGCATTTTCATGGTGTCTAGAGCTTGGGACAATCCTTAGGAAACTGTGCCTTTCAGAGCTACCCTTTATTCCACAGCTGATTAATCCCCTATTAACAACAGATTTTCCTCCATGAACAACTGCTTTGACAAGAGACCAGAAGAACTAGATGGTGCCTGGCTACCATTACCGAACATTCTTCTACTACAGAAGAATCCTGATCAAAAGGTGGAAAATACAGAACAGAGTTTCATATTCTCATCGACTCCAGACCTCCTGGAGCCATGAAGGTTGGATGAATCTCTGAAACTATTATCCTGGGATCATCTTTAAACCTTAAACCAAAAATATCCCCAGAAGTCGTCTTAAAACCAAACAACAGTTTAGCTAAAAACTAGTAGAGACTATCTGGCTCGTGCAGTGTGCTCTTTTAAGAAGTATCTATACGGGGTCAAACTAGCCAACAGCAACTCCACAGATTACATAGGAAGCTTAGGAGATGGTGAGTTCATGTTAATGGGGGAGGAACAATTTAGGAAAGGAGGGTAAGAAGGTTGCACAACTCAAAGTCACAGATGTCACTAAATTGTACTTGTAGAAACTGTTCAATTGGAGTATGTTTTTCTGTGTATATTCTCAACACCAACAAATAAAATTATTTTTAAAAAAGAGAATAGTTTTTCCCCAAAAGGCCCCAAAAGATGCCAAAAGGTGTAAATAACACCTTTTGCTAGGAGGTGGCCAACCAGAGAGTCAGCTGGTCCATAAAGCCCACCAGTCTGGTTCTTAAAGCAAATGTTCAGGCTTGTGTTTGACCTCTATACACTCGGGTACACAGTTCGTTAGACTTTTTCAAAAGAAACAGTAATAATAGACCATGGGACTCTGGAGGGGCTATTCACGTTCTGCTGCAGATCACAGCGGGGTACCTGAGCATGTGTGTTTTATGAAAATCCATCATGCTATACAGCTCTCTGTATGCAACTTGAATGATAACAACAACAAAAAGTCAATAGTACTGGCATTATTCACAATAGACAAAAAGTGGGAACAACTGAAATGTCCATCAACTGATGAATGGAGAATCAAAATGTGGTCTAGCCATACAATGGAATATTATTCAGCCATTAAGGAGAATGAAGTTCTCTTGCATCCTACGCATGAACGGATGTTGACAGCTTTATGCTGAGTGAAATAAATCAGGCATGAAGGGACAAATACTGGATTATCTGACTTACACGAAATATCCAGAATAGGCAAATGCATAGAGACAGAAAGTCTGTTAGTGGTGACCAGGCGCTGGGGAAGAGGCAATGGGGAGGGACTCTAAGGCCTACAGGGTTCTGGTGGGATGAAAATATTCTGCTATTCTGCCACTAGATAGAATCAGGGCCAGCGTAACACTGTGGGTGTACTCAATGCCACTGAACTGTGCACTTAAAATGGTTAAGGTTATGTTATGTGAC